CTTGCTGCAGCTTGGTCCGAATCTTGCTAACGCGCCTTCCGCGCTTCTTGCTCAACGCTTATGCGTCTTGCTCCTCAGCTTGCGTTGCTCGCCGAATCTTGCTAGTGTACTTGCTAATAAACTCATGCGATGACCTTGTGTTGTGTTGCGTAATCGCCATGGGATGATCGTGCATCTCCCATCATTGCCACCATGTAAACGGTAGTCAGCTTCCGGTCAGCATCGCTGCCGACCGTGCCAGCCTTTCCCACACTAACAGCCGACAGATCGTGGTAAGGTGGATTAACCAACCCACTAGAACAGCAGTCAAACCGGCTGCTGTTACATGGCGCTCCTGGTTTCCGAACCAACCCGACAGGATACCAGGAAGCCGACCGACGCCATCATTTTGCCAGTTGTCGTTCAGTGAGTTGTTACTTTTTTTGTAATCATCGGTAGCACTATTGCGAATTTTCGATTTTAGTGTATAATTCTGGCCAAATTAGACATTTGAATTGCATAATTCCCATTTTGCCGCTGTTTTTTGCATAATCGTACATAACTTTCTGAGTGGCTTTTGTGCAAAAAATATTAACATAAAATTTCGAAAGTACATTAGCGAAATTATTTACTAAATTAAAATTGCGAATAGATTGATTACTGTAACTGTTTGGCTCTTAAAAAATTGTTGGAAATCATATTATTTTGGCATTGCCGATAATTTTGCCACACCCTGTCCTTTGTCTACAGTACATATATACAGTACATACTGTAGCAAAATTATTGAATGCCATTGTGTTCCCGCATCCGATGAGACTGTAAGAGCACAGACAGATCTTTTCTCCATGGGAAAGCATTAAGCGTTCCGCTCCAGCAGATCCATGGAATCTTCAGAGAAGATTCTTCTCCTGTCTCTTCTGAACTGTTCGTCAAAGTCAGAGCTGCGCTGGCTTAGCGAACAATTCAGTCTAAACATTAACAAAGCGAAGAAGAAACAGCATTTTGTGGAAAAATTATCTGCATACATATCGGCAAATAATATTCCATTGTCAAGTGTGCAGCAGCATCTGTTACAAGCAACAACAGATGACCCAAAGCAGGCACACCGAGAGATTTCCTTGCACACTCTTCCCGTGGGCAGTCAGACAGCCGTAGTCACAGGCACAGACAGTACACAGCCACAACCCGTGCCTGCAAGTTCCCCTGCTTCCAGCACAGTGAGCGAGACAGAACAGACCACTGAATGGCTAGTGCAGCGTAGCATCTTACAGTCTCTTCCCTGTGAACCTGAGCTGTATAGAGAGAAGTACCAAAATCTCAGTCGTTCGCTAACGGAAGAGGAAAGCTACTTTCTGGATAACGCAGTGCTTATGCAGATCCGCCGTGCTGCTCTATCATGCATTCAGCAGACTGACGACAACTCAGTCATTGCGCAGCTATCCGCTGCCCAGCACGCAGCCAACTTTATGCAGTGGCTTAAGCAGCCCACCACAGAAGCACGCACAGATAGCACTGCATGCGCAACAACAGAAGCGAAATTATCTGCGCATACACACCGCGCCCATATTGATAATACGAGTACGAGTAAAATTAACGCCGGTAAATTAAACGTGCACAGTGCACGCATATTATCAGCTGTTTCAACAGAACCTACATTAAATGAACTGGAAGATTATAGAGCAACCAAATTAAAACTGCTGCGTTGCAAAAAGTACACAGACGGTACCGATATTAATGATTTCTTTAATGAAATGGAGAAATTATTCTATGAAATTAATCCTGACATGCCGGAAGCACAAAAAGTCGAAGAAATACACCGTGCATTCGACTACAAATTAAAACACCGAAAATTTATGATCGGTTTGAACACTGTTCACAAAATACGGTTAATGCTCATAAGATTAGACAAGTTTGAGCATAAAGAACAATCTCGTTTACCACCAGACCCGGTTGAGATTACAACGGCTAACCAACGGGATGATGACTACGACTACAATAGTCATCGGTCAGTACGTGCACAACGCCACTATGCACCTGACCAGCAAAATATTACAATGGAACGTGGTTTTGACCGTTACCGCGACGCCGACGACTATCGATACGAGCACCACACTCCAAAGCAAAGGAACTGTTCCCAAAATTACCGAAGAATCCATCCTCGACATATCGACTTCGACAGCTACAGACTGAAGAATGGAAAGCTATTTTGCCCGAAATGCAAAGATTTCCTGCATTCATATCGAGAATGCACAGAAGCCGACTACGACGATAAATACAGTATTCAACGCATATGCCCGGACCATGTCAAAGCCAGAGTACAAACTGCATATGACGACTACATCTCCTACATGCTCTGGAAATATGGAGACGACTTTTGGTTCACCGCTCAAGGAAAACGGATGAGACGTTACGGAAAAGGAGGTCCATATGGACGTGACTACGTTCCACCTGTCTGCTACACTGAAGCCGAAGTTAAATTATATAACCCTCAACGGGATGCCACTACACCACGAAGTACACGAACATTAGGCCAGCGTGTACGGATGCCGACTGTGCATTTCAATGTGTCCGAACCGCTAATTCCTCGGACACCGTACATTAAAACTGATCGCCGTCACTCTTCCAGTGCGAGTCCAAGTTACAACAATGACTCACAGTATCAGCCCACTACGTCAACACCAGAACCTTTGGAAACATTAAGCCCTACACCGCTCGCCGGCACCAGGAACAACCCGCCGCCACTTTCCATCATAAAGTCTACAGTGGACACAATGGATGCCACCGTGACCGCTTCGCCGTCTCGCCGCGACCAGCCGACGTTGCGAAAAGTTAATTCGAAAGCATCGTTATCACCGCTGAATACAATAAGACCTGAAGTGCTAACGCCATCCAGCTGCACTTCCTCTGATTCATGCATCTCACCTTCCGATTCTGAATCGCCGGTAAATGATCCCTACAAACCGCAACCGGCATGCGATTTAACCAGTTGTACAATGGAAAACATTAAAACGGAGAAAGCCGGTACACCACAAAACGGCTATGATTTCGTCACAATCCCAAATGTGCATAAAATTAAAACTGCAAATGCACCCATGTCATCATTACTGCGCCATTTCCGTGCTACACCATGCCACCGGATACAAGCGGAAAATTTTCGGATACCGTGAGGGACACATTCCCATACACGCCACACCAGCCCGCCACCGTCCACCTCGATCGCAGAATCCCGATCGCCTAACATTAGCCATTTCCGTGGAAGATTAACGGAACAACTTTGGATCCGCCACGTTTACTTCAGGACCATTACTGGACTCCTACAGCTAACTTCTTAAACTTTTCTAAATTAATTTCAATTTTTTACTATTTTTTAATTAACACTCCCTAATATTATCTTGATGAGACAAGTATATCTCATCGCTACCGTGAGGGATGTAGCGATAGAAATTAGATGTACCGCCAGTAGGAGTGTTAATTGCCTTTCTCTACCGTTTATTGGTTGTTGTGTTATGAGGATCAGAATCCTAGTTTTCCTACTTTCACCGACCGCATCTCACGGTCAGAAACATCTTGAAATTAGTCTTGCTGCAGCTTGGTCCGAATCTTGCTAACGCGCCTTCCGCGCTTCTTGCTCAACGCTTATGCGTCTTGCTCCTCAGCTTGCGTTGCTCGCCGAATCTTGCTAGTGTACTTGCTAATAAACTCATGCGATGACCTTGTGTTGTATTGCGTAATCGCCATGGGATGATCGTGCATCTCCCATCATTGCCACCATGTAAACGGTAGTCAGCTTCCGGTCAGCATCGCTGCCGACCGTGCCAGCCTTTCCCACACTAACAGCCGACAGATCGTGGTAAGGTGGATTAACCAACCCACTAGAACAGCAGTCAAACCGGCTGCTGTTACAATACTTAAAAGCGGCAGCACGGAATTTCGTATCTCCTGTCCGAATAAAGAAGCTACATTTGCGCCTGACCGATTACGATGGTCTATATCAAATTTCAGAAAATAAGGAAACTGGCAAAAAGATTTCCTCGTCAAAAATTTGTCCCAGTTTGCAAAACTGGGCGTTCCGCTTTAAAATCACTTTTGAGTGACACTTACTTCGTTTATAGAATTCAACTAATGATGAATTATAAAGCACATATTGAAGTATTTTTAAGCGACAAGAAATGAGGGAAAGAACAAGGGAGAGAATTACTACAAATTTGTGTCCGTGCTGGAAGCATATTGCGAAATCACCCTAAAGCTGACAGCTTAGAACCGCAAACAGGAAATTTTTTAGCTACCCTAAAACATCACAATTTTTTTCAGAAAATCAAGCCATACTCGCTTACAGCAGCGAAAACTTATATTGCGTCAAAATTTCTGTTACGAGATTTTACGAGATCGCAAAATACAAAATTGGGTAACATTTCTTTTCCGTACGGGTTATGTAATTTTTTAACTGTTTTGTCTGGAGAAAGACTTCGTTTTTCAACAGAGAAATCTTTGTTGGAATGGGGCACATACTGGAGGAGTTATGCAGTCAGCACACTTCTTAACATCCCCAAAAACTGCCGGTTTTTTATCCGTGATTTGGGGTATTTTCGTCAAAATTATCTGTTGCACGAAAGACTGCAACAGAATTTTTTGGTTTGGCCGGTAAATGCAGTCAAACATTGCCCTTACAGAAAAAAGTTTTTAACCAGATAAACCTCTGAAGCGTTGGTCTAACAATTTCTTTCACACAGCCGACGTCCGGATTCACGAGAACCAAATGTACACACTAAAGATACGAAAGTATGGGACGCAGGGAACCAAAAAGGTCATGGCCAATACTCTTCTAGCTACAAATATTTCCGGTGATAAAAACACGGAAGCGAGTGACCTTTCTTATTCTGCGCTTCTTATTGTGCCACAGTACAGGCCAAGTGCCAACTAACGACTCTAGCATAACTTTATTTGAACTGAAACATACAAACCCATCTCGCAACATGTTCGCTTAACTACACGTGTATATCTGTGATTTACAGATAAAAGTTGAATTCGTTAATTACATTTTTCTTACAGACTACAAAGAAAAATGTAATTAACGAATTCAACTTTTCAGACGTTCTTGGGAAAACGCCGGCCAGTATTCCAAATCTGTACACGTTTGCACACTGCTTCAATCCGTCCGTCGAATAGTTAATATCTGTCGCCTTGGCCTCTTCCTTGACCTGCAAAAACTATTTTTTTATTTATTGATAAATTTGTTGTGCATCAAACTTGCCGGAAAACCGCGCTTATTGTACTTTGCTGTATCGAAAAATGCTTCATATAACAAGAAACACATTATGGAAAATAAAGAACGGCCCATGCTCCAATACATTTCTCTGGCAGATTAAAATTAAGGCTAACAATTGGACAATTTTAAGCAACCGTTTTGCTCAACAAATACAAGATGTTAGGGAAACCATGAACATTACGGATATCGAACGGTAACCTTGTTCAGCTTGTCCATTCGGCCAGGATCGGAATTTGAAGAGCGCATCCGCTCCAAACACCACCATAGCTGCCCAGCAGAAAAACTACAAAAAGATAATATTGTTTTTTTGTACATTGTCATTATTTCAGCGGAATATAGATAACATTGTCATTATTTCAGCGGAATTGACTGAAATAATGACAATGTCAAAATATAGAAAGCTTGGGAAAATTGCAGTTTGGTATACCGTGCAAGCTCCACGAGTGCCATCCATTTCGGCGAAGGGGATCATAAATGCTCCGGCAAGGATAAGTAAAAATAGATACAGCACCGCAGTAAGTCAATTTCTAAACAGAAAATAAGGTCACTCACCGAACATAAATCAGGCTGTCCAGTGAAGTTCATAACAAACGGTGGAAGCACTTACTATACCCAACCATTTAACGTGGTGTAAAGGATCGATTACGTGGAACAAATCCAGAAATAACAGAATGAGCGTAATGACGAATCCCGTAATTGTGACAAACTGGACCCACCCCGCAGATGCTTGGCAGTAAAAAGCTGCGTACCTCCAGTCCGAGCTCCAGGCAGCCGTCGCCAGAATGAAGGCAGTTAGCAGAAAGACCTGTCAGCATCAAAATATTGTGACTGCAGTGCGAAACGTTTTGTTGTTGGCACATTCGATGTTTCATATTTTCAGTAAAGTCATAAACAGTTTTATAGTTTCATAATAGTTTTACAAATAAGGAATGCGAATGCGTACGAAACTGTATGCATATATTCAGTATATTGTGTAATTATATGCTGCTGATATTGGCATTATGTTATTATGACATCGGCAATTTGCAGCTTACACCAAATATCTGTACAAGCCCATCCGGAAACAAGAGCTCGACTGTTAACCGGGAAATTTGCACAAGGCGTACAGCTACATGTGCGTACATGCACTGTGCACAATGTACAATGTACATTGTAGCTGTACTGTACATTGTACATGTAGCCGAGATGTGCATGTGTGCTTTGTTCCCTGTATTATGTCTACACTCTACTCGTAGCTCTTGTATTTTAGACAGTAGCGACAAAAGGTCGCTTTACATCATCGACATGAATGACACCGTCACACCCATATTTCCATTATAACAGTATGCTCACGTGACTCACCATATCAAGGATGTTCATGATCCCAGAAAACGATTTAAAGTACTAAAAATAAGCTGCCGTGAACGGTAAAATGTTTTGGTACAGACATAAGAGCGCATAAGATTGTACTTGTTTGTCAAAGTGCGGTTTCAGTTCAGCAACTCTGGATGATTTAATCGGCGTTTCCGAGGAACTCAGTTTTCCAGCCATAGAAAGAAGTAGCGCAACTGCAATAAAGTACAAATTAGTATCTGGCATGTATGTGCGCGATGAAATCTTAGAAACTCGATTTAAATCGCGCAACTTGTCGTCTGCCAGAACTTACATTTGATGAACGCATCTGCTCCATATGTCATCATGGCTAGCCAGCAGAAACCCTGCAGAAAAGTGTTATTACAGTTGCTTAAGTACAGTACTTACTCTTATATTGGCTGATTGATCCGTTAAACGCAAACGCCCATTGTTTGTTAAAGCTTAGGAGCAAACATTTTTGTATGGTATAGAGTTTAGACTAATTGTTTCTTATCCCAAATGCGGAAAACTTTAAGTATAAGTTATAACTGTATACAGAAGTATACAACGGCCGCTGCGTTGGTAAAAAAAATGGCGGGTTTGCACGAAAGCAGTGTACACGAAAACAGAAGTCGTAATTTGCTCAAAGATGTCGTACCGACATTTCGCTAACCGCACTACGTTGACCGTCACGAGGGCAATGGCTACAAAACCTAAGAAACCTATGAAAATCTAAAATACCTAAGAAAACTAAGAGGGTTTAGCTAAACGCTAGAGTAGTTCGACGTCGTGCCGGGTCGACATCGTGTCGGTTCGACAAAGCGACGGTCGACGAATTTTCGTCAACGAAATGATGGGTCACCGCTCAAAAATAACGGATGACACGAGATTAAGATGATGGTTGTATGATCAAATGTACCGTACAAGCTCCACGAACAGCACGAGTACGACCGTTGGCGTGAGGAATCAGGACCGTGCCGGCAACACACAGCAGAATTGCCATAGCGGAGCAGTAAACCACTTCCTATTCCCGTAAAAAGGTCATTTCGCAATGTATAATGCTAAAGTGTGACCTCGGGTGCATACACTGGGCACAACATAGACAAAAACGTTGTATCTGCTTACCACAAACAGCCATTTAACTTGATGCGGAGGTTCCGTTAAATGGAGTAAATGCACAAACACCAGTGCTAGCGTAATGATGAATCCGATTATTGTGACAAATTTTGCCCAGTTTATGCAGTAAGACTGCAGCCAGCTAGGCCATAAGGAGATGCCGTATTCGGTTGTCACCGCCGCCAGAATGGATGCAGTCAACATCAGACCCTGTTAAATACCGAAAACGGTCATGTCGGTAAGGCATGTTTTTGCGCTACCAGTGTTCATCATTACGAAACATGTTTCGATTTGTCGTATTTTTGGTCACTTTAAGGTACTTCGAATATACGTTTTCCTACTAGTATATTGGTCACAGGGTGTGGAAATTTCGTAGCAAAACCAAGTTAACAGACATGACTGGCCTTCGTAGTGAAACGTTCACTATGAATTTCGATCCATCAACACCAATCAATTTCCACAGAAAGACAGAATGAATAACAAATACTGGTCTGGGTATAATGCACAAGGACCGGTCTTTCACATAAAAATTTCGAAAGTTAAAGCTTTGCCCTATCAATTCGCTTTAATAGCTACAGAATATTAAAAACAAGTCAAAAAGCATGTAATGCGAATAATGCATTAATGCGATGAGTAGTTGTTCACGAAGCGAGCCAAATGGCGGTGACCGATGAACAATATATGGAAACGCGTATATTCTGTACTTAAAGTTAAAAGTAACCAAAATACGCGAAAAATCAAAAATTTGTCTCTTGTACCCAGTACTCGTATATAATTTCCCAGACGGTGATTACATAAAATGTTCACCACAGTAGGATACATCATCACCATGCACCCTTACCAGTTCAATCAGTTGCAAGATTCCAGAAAACGTCTTGAGATACTACAAGACCAACCCATTATACCTTACTATACTTGAGGTATATTTTAGTGTAAAGCATCTGTAGTTGCACACAATACATTAACAACACCAGTATGACATGTACCAGAATATGGAAAGTGCACGTTATAGGTTATAAAAAAACTGGTTAAATTTTATGTAAAGGTCATACGTTTATGTTGAAGCGAATTTTAGCTTCAACGTTGCTGCTGGATGCAAATGGCGTCCCATGGAGGCCCGTTATTTCGGATTTAGGATGCCGGTAGCGCGGCTGCAGCAAAGTATCGCTGCCCGAACAAACGATTGCAATGTTGTGATGATACAACGGTAACGCGTCGGACTTCATGTTTCACCGAACAGTATCCAGAAGCTTTCTGCAGTAGTTCTCGTATGGCAGGAAACACTGCAGACCGTGGACCGTAACGATCGCCAAAGGCCTATACTTCTATAGGCTGCGGTGATTTCGTGCCAACAGTACTCCGGTATAATTACAGTTTATTGTACCTCAAAGATAACTGCTACAGCTACGGTTTATTGTACCTCAAAGATGACTGCTACAGCTACGGTAACCGATCACAATAATCATTTAAAACAGGGGTTTAGCGGTTTCCAGTGTGCTGATACGTTAAGATTTCAATCTGTATACATAATGTATGTCATGAAATTACTGCGTTGTCGTACATGCAAGCTGCATCGCGTATCACATCACGATCATGCACCGATCAGGCAAGTCGTCCGTCGCACATGCGTAGTGAAAAACATGCAAGTTGTATTAATAGAATTTTTTTAAAGTTCCGTGCATTCAGCAACGAACGGCTGCATCCGTATTCCGTACAGTGCGACAGCAAACGAGACACGTATTACAGTACGAGGACGAGCTTAGTACATGTGATAGACAAAAAAACTAGCGAGAGAATCTGATAACCATTTGCGTGCTGTGGAACACTGTCAGCCACCTTAGGCTGGCGGTAGCCGCGCGCCGTCACACAGCCGTCAGCTGAACACGGCCTGCTATTTTCTGTAACGCACACTCGTATTAAAATTTAAATGAGAGTTTTGTTTTGGTTTTATAACATTGTTTATAATTGGTTCTCCGCAAAATTTCCAGTAACCAGTGACTTACATTAATTAACCAAGCTCTTGATAATAATGTTATAAAATTACCATCTAAATATAAAGATTCATCTGGCGAGATGCACTACGATGAGAATATCACCGACGTACGGCTACCTGCCAGTTTGTTTTCTGCACCTGCGATGGAGATTTCTTGCGCGAGTATCAGCGTTGTTTCGGGCCTACCGTTGAGTGAGAATTGTGTGGAGGAACCTGCCAGCGACGTGCCTTTACCAGCAGCGTACGATGATTTTATGGCCTTGGCGCTGAAGGCTTGTAGAACGGGGAACCTGACAGATATAATAGAAGAGATTGTGGCGTTCACAATCTCTAAAGCAGGTTTTCTTCCATCGGTTGCAGCAGACAAAGTGGCTGCAGATTGGCACCATAATTTCATGAGCGCTCATCCTCAGAGAAAGAGAAAACTTCAAGATTCTCGTCTGCGCGCCAAAGCAGGGACGGACAGTAAAGTAACGGACAGTAAAGTAATCGCAGAGCTCGAGCAACGGGAAGCAGAAAAACTGCTGCAGAAAAATAAGCGAAAAAGAAACACTCGTAGCGGACTTAGCGATGTGACAAATACTCCGACTTAAATTAAAAAATCTTTCAGAATTGGTAAAAAGTGAGTCCTCTGAAATTTCACATGTGGTTCTACAAAGTCAAAGTGTTACTGTAAGAAATAAAGTGTGCGGTATTACTGGGGTGATTATTTGTATTAAATGTGATGTGTTTACCAGCACTGACAAACCTGGGTGGTTGCCCGTGTTGCACTGGCCGGGCATGGTTATCAGATTCTCTCGCTAGTTGTTTTGTCTATCACATATACTAAGCTCGTCCTCGTATGACATTAACTAAGCACAGTGTGCGTATAAAGTTGATCTTACATACTACTGGTAGTGGTACAACATCATTATGTTAGCTGTAATCATTTCAGGTGTTAACTGTTTGTCCTTTTGGGGAAAAAAAGGAAGCGTTTTCTTTACTGAACTACGAGAAGCGGTTGTTGTTTTCATCTCCACCACGAACTGATTATTTTCGGCGCATTTCAAGACGCAACCGGATGTTGCGCGGACAAATGGTTTTCACGTCAACCACTCAACGGACAACATTGATGATTTGACTACAGAATGCAAAAAATCGATGCAGAAAGTGTTGATTTTTGAGTGCGCGAAAGTTAAAGGTTTCGTGTTTGTACCCCGAGTTGGCACCGCCGCACCATGTATCGGGCTCTGCGGCTACAGCGCTTACGTACAGACTCTGTACTTTGTGCTAGTTGGTTCTCTTGCGTAGTCTTTATCGGACAGCGGCCAGGCCCGGTAAGGATACACTGCGTATGCTCCTGCAGCAGGTGACCTTGGACAGGGATTAAACGACATGGCGGAAAAAGTTGACCCTACATATGTTCGCACCGCTTTTCGTTCCGTTGCGATTACATAGCTAAGATTTGTCATCGTGTATGTATTCGCAGACGTCATGTGTGCTGCAGTCCGCTGATCCGCGTCCCTCTCCGCATTATCACGGGAAGAACTGGTTCGTCGACGGCCTGGAAGCTGGAGAAGTTGTCCCGCATGACCCGACACTTTCTCGTTTAAACTACAAAAAAGCGACTAATCCCCAATAGTGACCTTTATGAGGACCTGTACAATACCACTCCCCGCGCCCGCTGTTTTAACTGTGGGTCAGCGGTCATCTGTTTTTCATCCTTATTAGATCAGCGTTTTGTACTGCTGTCGCTGTCGTTGGCTCGTTGATTTTATTGGCATCCCTTTTAGCTACCGAGTAGGCCTTTTACTACTACTGCCTTCGCTACAGTACCAGAATTTGCACCGGCACGGCTTTTAAAAGGCAACATTAACGCATCACGCATACTGTACTCGTACTGTAACATATTAACAGGGCAGCAACATTCAGCAAAGTTCTGATTTTGAATAAAGACGAAAACTGCAATACAGTAACGCAAGAAATTAGTGACATAATAATTTTGCATTCTGTGCGCAAATTTTGCAGATTCAGGCTGCACAGGACACAAAAACGGAGAGATCCATTGTCCATGTAACCAAGAATTCTAAGAAATTCCTGATAGTCTGTCATATCAAGCAGAATTTTTCGCAAGCATAAGAATTTAAAAATTAAAACTAAACCCGTCGAAAAAATAACCTGCTGATGATAACGATTTTGGTTATCATTTTTTGTCAATCGTGAACCGCAGAAAGCGTACACTAGCTGCTAATATGTTACCCGGGCCGGTTAACTTAGACAAATTAGTTCGTACGTTGCTTGTTTGTACGTTGTTTGCTCACTGTTTAGCGTTAATTAAAACGCACTGAATTTGTTTGGATCACTCCAAATACGGTATGTAGCATTATTCGAATACAAAACCACTGCCGTAATTATTAATTTCCGCACGTATGCACGCAGAGATATGACCGGAATTAATGTATTTCTTAATTAGAAATCGTGATTATTGTAAAAAAGTACTAAACTGATGCTTAGTAAATAATGAATATTTTTCGTTAGGAAATATGAAAATTACCAAAACCGCAATGAAAATATGAAAATTACCAAAATTCCATTAAATAAGGATCTGTAAGTATGGATGGATTTGTAGATTCCATACATCTGTACCTCGAAGAGCGAACCTGCGAAGAAGCCAAAAAAATTCATCTTGACACTTCAGTTATTGTGCTGAAACTCACTTCGCCTGCCTGGAGATCTGAGGACACCGTAAAGTGATCTTTTTACACAATGTACACAATAATACACATGTACAAAAATGTGCTTTTCACACAGATTTTGTACAGTATCTGTACATCATGCGGTAGTAACAGTTTATTTACAACAACATTGTCACTGCATACAAAAGAAAAAATATCAATGCCTGTAAAGTTACCGGCTTTGGCTTTGTGATTAAAAATCACATTTCCGAAGAGACACATTATGTTATTTTTTTAATTTAACGCTTTTCTAGTACTACATAGCAGTGATAGCACACAGTGCCACACACATCGCGCATATGTAAATATCATGTGATGAGGCTTTTGCAAGCCCTCCAATCTACCATTGCACTACAACAATACGCAGTTAACGCAGATACAATAATTTTATTATTACGATGACCTGCTTGTTACTTACTCACAAGGCGGTTAAAAATGCTTTTAAAATTACCGCGTCTAGTTTGACTATAAAAACTCATATTTCTAAAATAAAAGTCATTAATTTCACGCTTTCCGGTACGAGCACAGACATCGTGCAGATGCACATATCAACCATACGAATTCGACCCGACACTTTCTCGTTAAACTACAAGAAGCGACTAGCCCCAATGGTGACCTTTAGGAGAAACTGCACAATTCCACCCCGCGTACACACTGTTTTGGCTTTGGGACGCGCTCTTCTGTCTGCCGTGTTTAGGTCTGCGTTTTGCACTTTTTGCGGGGACGTTAATTTAAATTACTCATAGTCTCCTACTGTCGTTTGCTCTTTGATTGATATTTGCATCCTTTTTACTACGAGTAGTACTGCGTTCGATACACTAGCGATATCTACTGCGATTCGGGTTTGTGCAGCGACATGTCTTCTAAGAAATCTGCTTTGCGATTCTGTTGAGACGTTTTCCGTAGTAATTCAGAGCAATAAAATTGTCTCTTCTCACAACTCAGCTTCGACGCTTGTTCTCCGCTGTTAAATACAAGAAAAAGAACCGAATGCCAGCAGATTTGTTGCGAATTAGAATTATCTGATTTGACCTTTGTGCCATACTGTCTGTTACTTGCACGGTTCGTTTGAAAATTTTCAGTAGAATAATTAGACCCATTCAAAACACGAATTTCGATTGTGAGAAAAGACACGAACTCACCACTAACCGTAAGTGTGTCACTATCAACAATTAAGGATAGTGACGGATGCAATTCTTAAAACATTCCAACCATCAAGCTGAAAAGTATTTCAGGCAAGCAACATTGTGGATACTAGGTGAAAATGGCTGTTCCAAAAGCTTGGCGCACACCGTAACAGCCAGGGTCGTTAGAAAATTCAGCGTTATGCGTGATAGTTTCTCCAGGCGCAAATCCTTCATTCCTTCGACGCACCACTTCTTCTCGCGATACTGTGATGATGGACGCGGATCAGCCGTCTGCACAGCGCACAAGACCTGCAACCCAAAAAACCCGCATACTCAGAGCACTGGAACCACTTTACTCAGCCAAGGTTACGACATTTTTCCCTTTCTGTTAATCGAATTAACCGAAAATCGGCAAACCGAAATTTTAATGTAAAGCCAACATCCATCTTAGCTACAGGTTAAACCGTGTTTTCGAAATTCACCCAGGAAACCGCGGTTTCTACGCTATATGTTTCGTGCTACCACGTGTGTACATTTTTGTATCACTTGACTGCGCTTTTGGCCACAATACGAATAAAACTAAAAAAGTGCAAATGGGTCAGTCGCGGTTCAAAAATGTAGTAATAAAATTAACAAACATGGTACATCTCGAACACATAAATCACCTGCACTGGTTCGAACAGAGAAGCACTTGTCTGCGTTGGGTGTGTCGAAACGAAATTTTCCATTAATTTTATCGTCAAAGTTAATCGAAACGGATTATTACTCTACTTTTACAGGCTTTACCTGGAGAACCACCTTAAGGGCCGGATGGTTGTCGGCTTTCAACAAGGTCAACAATTCGGACAACATGCAGAGCTGCTCATCACTCGGCGCCGGCAGCGCCGCTTCCAAACCATCCCACACCGCACCGCCTACATCATCAGCCAGCTTCAGCCGGGCGGCGAACACCTTCACCACGAGGTCCAGATGGCAAAATCGGATGATACTAGACTAGTATAAGGTCTCATACGCCCTTAGGGCAAGCGGGCGGCGGTTTTTAATTTTTATTGTATAAGGCAGCG